GAAAGAGGGGCGGATAATTTCTATTCGAATTGTAGTCGTTCATTATTATTTGTCGCGGATTTGTAACAATAGAAAATTCCTTAATCGCCACACACGACGAATAAAATAACTGTATATATAATTGAAAAATTCTCATATGTATATTACATGTGTATATAGTAATAATTTAATGTATTTTTTAAGTATTTAAGAATATAAATCATAATTAAATTAAGATTAATATTTTCAATGTAATGTGTAATGTGTTTACCGCTTTATCAAAGCTATTAATTGCAATGGAAAAAGTTGTCGAAGCTAATGAGCGCGTACCGCAATTTCCTTATTGAGTCAGCTCATTGAACGCTCATTGTCTACTCTACGAGAGATTCCATCTGGAGTATTTACAATTATTTAATGCAAAGGTATTGTGTTACGTAATCGAGTCATAAACCGGTGTCAAGCATTCATGAGTCGCGAGTTTCACGAGTAGTACTAGTAGATGCATATACGGTTGACTATCGGCACAAATCAATTACAGAAAAGAAAGTCTTCCCTCGCTTTCTCTTTTTTTTATTACAGATAAGATAACTAAATATCATATTCTTCAGTTTTTATTTGTAGCATTTATAACCCTAAAGCTGTTGATAAAAAGATTTAGCATTAAAAAATAGAACAATTCTTTCATGGATTCTCTCTCGAAATAATTAAAAATTCAAATGTTTTTGAGAATTTTTATGTAAATTGATAAGGTTTCTAACGTATCGATGTTTTTTTGTGTGAAGCAAAAAAGATCTATTCTTATTTATTTTCCTAAAAAAAATTGAGGTTTTTTTGTCTCTATCTATCATTTACCGCGAGATTAGGAATAAAATAACTATTAATTATTTTATTCTCAATCTCGCTTCCACATTTTCGAGACTTTTGGGAGGAGACGGAGAAAAAAGGTTCTCTCCCGCATGATAATTTCTGTGTAATAGACCACATAAATGATAGACACAAGATATGATAAATAGATAAGATAAATATAGATGAGAATACGACTGAAAATTCCGCGAGATACGCGAGGGTGCAAACACCGATCGTTTCTCGATTCCCGGACTCGATATTAGCGCCGGCAAGGATTCAACGTACTTATTGACTTATATCCTTGGGACAGGATCAGCTGTCGTTTGACTTTATCGTACCCCTACGTGAATTCCTTTTGAGGTAACGCACGAGGGGTGGTTTCTTCGCACGTACGATTGTTCCAATCGCAAAAGAAAGAGAAAGAGAAAACACTCGACTTCTACTCCTACAATGCCATGCGGCTCGAGCCGCTTGGAAGAAACCGAAATTGCACCTTCCCTTTCCCTCCCTCTCTCCTCCCCTTCCCCGCACCGTTCCTTCGGACGGTGGACATACGTGATCCGTAACGTCGTGCGACATGCGATTGCGCGAGATTCGCCAAAAAGCGAGGAAGCGTGCGTGCGCTAAAAGCGACGGTGCATGCCGGTGGCGGCCGCATGGGGTAGCTCAGCTGCTTTCTGCCGTGAAACCAGCGAATCGAGGGTCGCAGACCCCCTTGCGGACAGCTGCCAGATCGTGCACCTTCGACGTTTCGCTCCCTCCCTCCCCACATGTGCTTCTCCCAGTCGTTACCCCGTCGCGGGGTAACCCACCCTTCGCGCAATTTATTGCATGACG